GCGTATCTTTGATGGGTTTTTTTAATACTGATTATTATGGCTTTTTGTCTCGACTCAGGAATGTAATCATCCAAAGAGACCTGAAGATTTCTTCTCAACGCCAACTTCTTCCAAGGTTTTGCTTCTTTCTTTATTTTCTTGATTCATCTTAAAGATATGAAGCAGAATTGAAATTTTGTTGTGTGTTCGAAGCATCCAAGTCTAAAGGATACGAATGAAACTCCAGGAGGATCTAAAGAACAGAATCAGAGGTACTTTTGAGATATGGTCTTTTAACTCTCTCTACTTAAAATCTCCCAATTTCAATGCTTTCTTCATAATCTTATTATCCAATTTACTTGTAGGTGGAGAGGACATGCAGTAGTATCACCTTCTACTTCAAACAATCAAGAAAGTGAAAATCAGAATCCAAACTTAGCCACGCCTCCAAGTAACCAAGCAAAATCATGGCGAGCAGCAGTTAAATCAACTTCTGTCAAGAGGATGAACAAAGAAATACCGAAACTAAAGAGTACACAATCATCTAGGAATCTGTTTTCAGGGAGAGATATATTAGGACATATCTCGGAGTTCTGCTATGAGTTGAAGAGATTACCACAAGGGTTACTGAGAGAGAAGATACTGGGAAATCCGAAGTGAAGGAGAGTCATCAAGTGTGTGTAATAAACGAGCCTTAACTCTCCTCATGACTTGGAGATGAAAAAGGAAAGAAAACCATTGCTTGAAGTAAGCAAAGATAAGCTACATGAGTCCACAGATGCTAAAGGAAGCCACCTTTAAAGAGAACCGTAGAAGAAAGAAGTAAGCTTTGTGAATCTTTTTTCTTTGTATGTATTACCCATAAAACTGAGTTTTAGTGCTAATGGGGGATTTGTGCAGGAGAGTGGATGATGCAGAGAAGAGAACATTCCTGTCCCTATAAATGCAGAGACTCTGAAGAACAGAGGAGAGGAGCGTAGAAGAAAGAAGTAAGTTTTGCTTCTACAGAAACTTTCTTTATCATTTGTTGTAAGAGATATGCATAAGCTTTGATGAGCTTAGTAAATAAAAGTACTAAACTTCTGTGAGGATTTTGTAGGAGACTAGATGATGAATAGAACATTCCAATCCCAATCCCTCTAAAACTGGAGAATGTAAAGAACAAAGGACACGAACGGTTGCTACAAATCAGAACAAACCCACCATCTCCTCAATGCTTCTCAGATAACAGAACAGCTTCTTTGAAAGCCTTGAGGCCCAAAACTACGGTATGTAATCAATCACATTCATCTTCTACCTTAAATCTGAAATCCAAAGACTTTAGACACCCTTTTAGTCAAATCACTATAGAACAACAAGAAACGAACAAATTTGGTTGCTTTTTCTCTGGTGTACACAGGAAAAAGGTAAAGGAGGAAGAAGCAGATGAAAAGAGCAGAAAGAGTGGAGAAGACGTAGACATTTATGTGTTCTTTTTGTTTTTATATATATTAGAGCGTAAGTAGTGGTGATACAATGTGGGTATCATTAAATATAAAATTATTAAAATTTGAGTAAAAAAAAGAAAAAGAGTGTTTTTGATTGAAATAATGGGGTGTATTGAAATATAAAATTAATAAAATTTGAGTAAAGAAAAGAGATAGTGGGTATTTTTGGAGAGAGACTATCAAATAGTTGATACTTTTGATACTTTTGAAGAGAGAAAGAATGTGTTTTTAATAATTTTATATTTAAAGAGAGT